TCATAGACATATATACATCTCTATAAATCTGAAACAGCACCAGAAAAACAATTCACGACTCAGCGTTACTAAAACATTGTGATCATTGAACTTCCACAGTGTGAAACTGAGAGGGAAACCCTCAGATGGATCAGGATCCTTGTGGTTTTTGTTGGACCTACCAGCAGGAAAATGAAAGCTAACCTCCATGTTAAAGCTGTAATTTGGACACGAAACAGATGTTTCTCAGCAGCAATCACAGCTTCTTTAATCTCCTTACATCAAGCTGAGGTTTTCTCTGGTAAAAGGATGGATCCAGTCTTTTTGACCTAGCAGGCCTAGCAGTCACCTGCATATCTGCCTGAGTTTTACACTCAGATCGTTTCATGCTGACGAATTAAAGGTTGCACTTGTTTTAATATAACCCTGAAAATAACATGATGAATAATCTCATAACTCTTTACTCAGAAACTACTTCCATTAGCCTCACATCTGTTAATCTGAACTACAGACAGCTAATGTTGATCAGCTGTGGCGACAATCTCGAACTGAGCTGATTCTAAAAGTTGATCAGTTGCAGGTGCACGTCCAACTTTAACCTTTTACTACCATGGCTATAATGACYATTTTGTKCATACATTGTTATTATGGTTGTAAAATGGCCAGGATGTGTCCTAAGTTTGAAAGCTTTGATTCCTTTTCCCACGAGTAGTTAAACTTGACTTTTTAACATTTGGTTAATGATTATTGCCCATTGTAAGGAAATTTCAGCAGTTTAAAAGAAGAAAAATACAAAAACAAAAAAAATTTCAAGGTTTATTGAGAAATAATATTCAGAATGTCAATAAAATTTTGATTTGGCATTTGAAATGTGACCCTATACATGTTTACAATATTTACCAGCCATTTTTTGAGTCRAGGACACCGGGTGTACAAAACACAAAGCAAAAGATGACTATAAACACWGGAGAAATTAGGCCAAATAACAGTTCAAAGGTGAAAAAACGTACATTCTCAAATTACATTGATGTATGTGAACTTTTGATTTGACATTTGAAACAGGAATTTTGAACATGAAAACAGTGCAAAACAGAAATAAAAGGCATTTTGAACATTGAAAAGACAAAAATAAAAACAATTCATGAAAAAATACTAATACAAACCTTTATATGAATAAACAAAACATTGAAAACCCTACACAGTAGCTGATAATTCAGCATAGAACTGCCTGAAGCACTTACAATTTTCTACAGAAAAATACACACAATACTAAAAATAATAATTTTACACAAGAAACAATATATAAACCTGTCACTGGAGGACTCCATCAGAGCTGTGAGCACTGAAAGAAAAATGGAAATCAACAAATGAAAATCACTCCTTTCATAGCAGCAAATACAATGGTTTTCATTAATGTAATATGTAGAAATAACAGGTGTGTCTGACATAATGACACATACACTCTCAGACAAATAATATAATCACAAAATGTGTTCTAAAGTGATAACTAGCTCATGATAAAACAACATACCTCAGAAGAGGAATCCTGTACATCGTGCTCCTCTTCTCTGAAATGTAGCGGCCATTTTATGGTCCTTGACGGGCTTCCAGCCCATATTCATAAGTCTTATAAAGCACACACCCATTCAAACACACTTAAGGGCTCGACACACGGGCAGCGACAAACTACAGCGATTAACGGCTGTCATCGCAGCCAGGGTAAAACCCGACACACGGGACGTGATAGCGATCGCAGCGTTGCAAATCGCTCTCGGGTCACTTGTCTTCACAAAATTTGATTGGTTCTTGACTCTGAAGGCG